TTTGTCGTTCCAAGCGTCACGACCTACATCCTCGAGATTATGGATGTAGGCGTTCCACGCCTGAAGTAGTGAGGGACCATCACGTTTGTGATTCCCACTGTACCATCGATGTCTGAAGAAAGCATCGATGAAGAACTCATGTTCAGCGCGATAGTCTTTCGCGCTGGGGTCAAGGTGATGAATCCTCGACGAATCGAACAATCGTGTTCGATAACGATCACTCGTCGTCGCCGACAAGTGATCCATGACAGATTTAGGAGGCATCCATGCCTTCTTTTCTGGAGCGAGACGCAAGACATTGCGGTCCCGCTCTTCCTGCGATGTGCCGACAGAAGTACTGGCACCTCGCTGTGAAGTGGTGTCCATTGGAGAAACGACACCACTGTTAGCGCCCGAGTCTCGCGACCTCGAGCGCCTTCGCTTCGGCGATGGTTCATCTGACTCATCAGATGAACCAAAGATGCTGCGACGCAAAGCATCGTCCATGCCACGCTTGGCAGGCGGCTTGGATTCAATTGCCGTCGATACGGATCCGTCATCCGTATCAGGAGAGTACGAGACACCGAGCTCGTACTCTGTGAAGACACGAGTGTCTTCATGACCAGCGCCTGCATCACCAGGTGATACAGGCTGAGTCGATTCAGCAACCGATGGGATATCAGTTGCTGTAGTTTCTGCTTCGGCGTCCGCACAGAGACGTGCAGACGCGCTCTCGGCGGCCTTGCTCGCGCATCGCATGGGCTTGTTTACCATGCGATGAGATGTTGGAAAGTGGACGCGGACCAACAAGTGCAAACCCCGTCCCAAATGATTTGGGAAGAGTATCCATTTAGTCAGTCAGTCACTAAAGTGACTGTTGGTTAGGGGGGTGGGTGATGTAACGGGGTGAATCGTTACATAACAATTTATAAGAAATTGTTAATAGAATATAACTATAAGAGTTATATTCTCAGAATATTGTCATAAGGACAAATATTCTGTAGCACTTACGAGTAGTTCCTAATTGGTTGATATAGGCCATCATATCAACCAACGAAGACGCGCCATGACAGACGCACACAATGAGTGGTGAGCAGATAGTTGGTTTGCACATTTATACTCAGACATAGTTAGATGAAGATAAATAGTGATTTATTGCAGACATTAACTATTATAAATACAGTTCTACTTTTTACTCTAACCGAGTACTCGCTTCTTCTTACCGTCTTCCTCTGCACGTACCAGTGTACGTGAAGTTACGAGGCACCGCCTTATTCTGTTATCAGAATAAGTAGCTTGTACTGTCACCAGTACAAGCTTCAGGGTGCCCCGTTACAGAGAGGCATACTACAGATCCTCTCAGCTAGCAGATGGGGCGGCATTCGAGAGATTCTTCTACGCTGGACTAGCTCATCCAGTAGAGAAGGAGCAAATTCTATACTAAGGGCACCTCACGCGATCTTTTACGGCGACCAACTATAGATCAGGACTCCAGAGCGCTGACGCCTATGGACAGTATACTTTGCTACGGACCTTCGAAGATGACTCAGACGTGAGATATTCTTCGTCACAGCTGGAGCCAGATCGACGACTTCTTACACAAAGTGTCCATGGATTCTCTTATGGTACAAGCAAGCTAAGGATGAGAGTCTAGCGGCAAAAAAAGTTGAATGAAAGCGTGGTGCATCCAAGAGACACACGTGGTCAATGAGGAAACTGCAGCAACATTACGGTTGGAATGGCGGCGGATGTGGGGAAAACATCTCGACCAAGACCAAACGCCAATGTCCTTTTGAGGTAGAGGCTCGTAAAAGGCTGGGGGGGTTGCTATTTTGCTGTCTCTTACGGCACGTCAGCGGCGGTCGCATGAAATGAAGGCAAGTAAAACTCACGCGCAATTGGAATAAAGGTGCACGACATTTATTTGAATAAACACATATGCACCAAACATCTGAGCAGAGCGTGAAATTGTTTTCCAGATGTCTACGTCTGGAACATGCCACCAGGAAAAGCTGTCCTGCTGGGAGATTTCAATAGTGTTAAAAGCCCCCAGCTCGACCGATCGGGCTTACGGACACCTAGTCGCTTCGAGAGATAGCTTTAAGATTGCTGGTGGAGGTGTAGCCCTGAGCGATGATCGTCTTCTACGGGAGCATGTAGAGATCAATGAGTTTAGTACAAGTAATCACTACACGTACTGGACCTCAAACACGGCAAGCCGATGTGATCGGATCTATGTGCTCCTAACATGAGCAGCGGACGTACTGTGGGACTTAACAGCTTATCCACCTTAACCTTCCAATCACGATCAAGCGGTTCTCCTTTGCGACGGAAACGGATGGGTCGACGCCAACAGCAGAGGCAGACAATTCCCTATCCTATACGTAAAAAAAGGCCGGAAAGAGTCTTGACTGAACAGTGACGAAATGAATACCTTAGGGGTAGGCCTTGCCCCTTCTACTCGGTCTTGGAATGCCCATATTGCTGGGAGTAAACCCTGTATTCGGGTGGTGAGGTCTCGAGAAAAGCAAAGGAGGAAACGTAACTTAGCAAAGCTTCGCCAGCGCAACATAAAGCAATTTCTCACGCGACGGCAATGGTAGCAGCTAATGTCGTACAGCTGAGGGAGGACAACATGTCTTGTCTTGGGGAGGCCATGGAACGGACGTCGGAGAGTTTACGATGATCCTACATGAGAATTGCTAACTGGGAACGAGATCAACACGTCATCACCCTCAGAGTGCTTTATGGACCAGTATTCTCGCACGGACTATCTATAGCGGATCGATTTGCGTCCGAATGGGCACATTTACCCAGCAAGATCCACCGCACCGTGCTAATGCATCTATTATCTTCGAAGCTGCGGTCATTTGCGACCATACCGCCCGAAAAACGCCTCACAAGAAGTGACAATGATCGACTGTGACAACCCGTTACGGCAGCAAAAATTGCTGTCAGCTATTACTAGGCTCAATCGTCATAAATCGGCTGGTTCCGATGGACTTAGTAACAGTTTTTACAAGGACACGGCAGCACTCATGTTACCAGCTCTGGTCATCATCAGCAACCAAATATTGGAGGGGACGGATTTGCCACCATCTTTTTTAAATTCCACTATCTTCCCTATCCGGGAGTAAGGTGACTCAGACGACGCTACGGATTATAGGCCTGTATCTTTGCTGCAAACAAGCTACAAAGTCTTTGCAAAGAGGTTAGCAACCCGGCTTCAACAAGCTTTACCTCGGGTCATTAGCGACACGCAACAAGGTTTTGTTCACGGTCGCCAAGTGTCGAAGTCAGTGATGATGATGATGTCTCAACTTCTGACAGCAGCATACCAGGAAGAATTAACGGCTGAACAGAGCAGATGTATATTGCTGTTGGATTTTCAAAAGGCACACGATACTGTGGATCGCGATTTTTTGTACGAATCTCTACGCTGTTTGAGTTCGACGAACAGTATGTCGACCTTATACGACGCATTCGTAATGGCACGTCAGCTTGATTTATTGTAAATGGGGGTCAGTCCCACGCATTTCCGGTGACCTCGGGTATTCTTCAAGGCTGTCCGCTCGCGCTGCTTTTGTTTCTGCTGGTGGTAGAGGTGCTCAATCTGTCATATAAGCAAGACACATCGCTACAAGGTCTGAAAGCACTAGGCATGGTGGAGCAAACGCACCTATTTTTCAGCATTTGTCGACGACTCCACTCTATTCCTCGCGAATACTGGGCAAATTCAGCAGGCTACAAATATTGTGAGGTACTTTGGTGCATTATCGGGCTTGCATGTACAACCAAGCAAAATCAAGCTCCTGTTTTTGTACAGGGCGATTAATGTCACGATCTACGAGAGTATCAAAGTCGTGCCACCAGGAGGTACCACCAGGTATATGGTTTATGAGGTTGGCACAGGGGACGCAGAGAACAAAAACTGGACCCTTCGGATCCAGAAGATTCAACGACGACCCTTAACAGCAACTCGAGTGGCGACAAGCGTAGACAACAGAGTTCTTATGCTCACTCGATCGTGCTTCCCTCCCTGCTGACACAGCAAGCGTATTTAAGCTACCGATGTTGACTGAGAAGGAGCTGTCCAATTCGTACAAGCAATTCTCATGGGCTCACGCTACATCAACAGAGGCAGGGAGACATAGGGTCAATCCGGGGTTATCAGTAACGCCTCGACAGGCAGGTGGTATAGGGCTAGTGGATATGTCGGTCGCAGTCAAAGCTCAACGAACCAAGCATTCCATTCTATAATTAACCCAACGACCGGACCCTTACTTCAAAGCATGGCGAATATGGGTCTTTGAAGGATTAAAGCGAGCTTCTAAAGGGCAGGTAACTCCAGCTGAGCCGTTGTAACGGGAAGCTCCACGTTGTCGCTGTATACCTAGGTTGGAGCTGGAGAGGGTGCTGGGGGCGTGGATTTCCCCAACACTGGAACAGCAATGTAACGGGGCACCCTTTGTTTGGGGTCCCGCGAAACTTCACGTACACTAGTACGTGCAGAGGAAGCTAAGCTACTTGAACGATTCGATCAATTTAAGGCAAAGAGAGAACTGTATTTAATATAGTTAAGCTGTCATTATAACTTTAATCTTTATCTAATTATTATTAAACTACGTCGTCGTATGACGACAGCCTGCTCACCACTCATTGTGCGCGTCTAGCTGCGATTGGTGGCAATCTATGGTTGATATGTCTGATATCAACCAAACTTGAGCAGCGAATGAATATTATGAAAGGGGATAATATTCCTTCAATTTTATAAACCTCAGATAGAATTGGTAGGATTTTGTCAAGATAGACAATATCTCTATTGACACCGTTTGGTGTCAATTACATATTGCTGCCTACCCTTACATCACCTTCCTTTAATCATTAATCACCCGTTGATTGAATAGAATTGATTGGGACAGGGTGACCACCGTTGGATAAATCGGGTTAAGGTAGCACTTGCTTGTCCAATCCCAATCATTTGCCAATCCAACACATGGTTTCGAAAATTAAGCAAGTTGCTACTGCAGCAGCAAGAAGAGCAGCTTCACGCATGCATGCAACCGGGGAAAGTACCTCTCACACCTCAGCAGCAGAAGATTCATCGCCTGTTGTTGTAAATCGTCTACGTGGTGCGTCACAACGTGCGACAGGTACATCCGCTGCGTCTGCAGCGGGTACATCGGTTCGTAATCAAGATGAGTCTGAGGTAGAGCTCCTCTCTTCTGGCGAGTCGGATGATGTATCCGACTCGAAGGCGACATTTCACGCCTCCAGATCACCCGGGGCGTACAATGCAAGAGCTAGGTTGACTGGATCTGGTCAACGTGGCGGCATCATGCTCGAGATTTAGGATCGAGTGATTATTCCGATGAGTCTTCGCCTCGCACAAGTCCATCCAACGATAGGATGCGTGGGGATGATGGTGATGCACCCATGCATCACCACGAGCGAAGTAATTTAAGGGATCGGGGTAACACTGGTGCCAGTGCTCATGCTTGCACCAACCAAGAGGCCAGGGGCCGAAATATCCTGCGCCACGCTCCCCAAGTGAAGTCTCCGTGGATGCCTCCATCCAAAGAGTCGGACCGGTTGGCCGGCACGACTACCGAACGGGATCAAATCCCGTTGTTCGATCGCAGGAATATTTGTCCACCTGATTCCAGCACGGAAACTATCCTTGCTGAGGAAGAGTTCTTCACCGATGCGTATTTCAAACATCGGTGGTACAATGGTAGCCGTGTTCAAGGAGGCAAAGCCTTGGTGCAAAGATGGAATGCCCTCATCCATAACATCGAGTGCATTGGCCGTGAGGCTTGGCTCGCCAAACTTGATGCAGCTCGCATCAGGTCTATGAGGCGCAACCCAGTCGGGGCGCGATGAAAGTTGCACCGGCTATCAAGAGAGGCAGGATTACCCTGTCTCTTGTGGGGTGATTTGTGTCCAGGTTGCCTGTACAACTCGAACCGTGCCCCTAGGGAGGCCTACCTCCCTAAGATCTTTACTGGAGGGCGCGCATCTCTTCCGAGATGGCCGGAGGGATTGACCCCTTGCAATCCCTGTACTCGCTGTCGGGGAGGTCGTTTTCCGACGGCCCTTCTTCAAATGCAGCGGGTGGGTCTCGTCGTACTGCTCGAAGAGACCAAAAACATCAACGGTCAGCTGGGCACGAGGCTCCCAGCTGTCCCACGCCGGTGGATAGCCACGCCAGCGGACGAGGTAACTCGTCCGGACGCCATTCACGTTGCGTTGGTTTAAAATACGCTCCAACAGAAAGCGTTGATCACCGCCAGAATCCACCAAAGGATGTGGTGGCGGTAGGAATACCTGATCCGGCTCGAGGGTCGGATCAACTTGATGTTCAAGAGCTGAACCGTCTAACGGAACAGTTGCAAGATGACCTGGCTCATGAACGATCTCGGCCTTATCGGCTTGAGGATCTTGTGAGGGATAATTACAATTCCCTAACGCACGATCGTTCGGACGGTCGTGCCGCTTTTGCGTTCGCGCAACTTGAGAACGAACGTTCGACTCGTTCTCTTCGTGATGAGCTGGCTGCTGCTCGTCGAGACATCGCTGAGCTGCGTGAACAGGTCGCTTCGCTAGTCGACCAGACTGGCTCGTTGAAACGGGACCACTCGAGGGTGTCTCGGCTCTCGAATGTGGAGGTGTTCTTCGCATCTCGAAACGGGCTCGTACTGATAGTACGGGCAGAGACGACCGACGCAAAACGTAGGATGCGTGCGCATCTTACGGGGCAGTTCAATCGTGTATGCGTTGCCCATTCGGCGCAACACACGAATTGGACCGATGTACCTGGGCAGTAATTTACTGCTGCCCACGTTTTTTACTGCGTGTTTCGGTAGATGTACTGTAGACAGTAAATCTAGGTCTCCTTCATTAAATGAAAGAACAATTTCTCTTCCATGTTTGTATGCGTTTCTCTTCTGTGTGTCTAGTGCATCTGCAATAGAGTCTTAAACGAAGCGGACAACCGCTTCGCGAGTCAGCAGAAATTCCTTTGCTGATTTATCTTTTTTTAGCAGCAGTGCGCTTCGTGTGCACTGCTAAAAGAATCCGTTGTCTTCATCATTGAGGGCGTCATCGTTCTCACTGTGGCAGCCACTGGCGATGATGAATATACCAGCATCGTCTTCATCATCATCATCGATGGTGATGAGATTGGCATCGGCATCCATCACATCAACACCAATGTCGACGGTGATGAGCAAGAACCAGATTGGTTTTTTTTTCAAAAGAGTCCACCCCCCCTTAATCTAGAGTCACACTCTATGAAGGCGGGTAAACGCGGATGGCTCAGGCCATTCACAAAGAACGGTGTATGCGTTGTCGACGCGTGCACCGAGTTGTTAATGGCGAACTCTGCCATCGGCCAGAACTCACTCCAGCTCGTAAACGAGTGGACATACCCTCGAAGTATCTCTTCGAGAACGCGGTTGACGCGTTCCGTCAGACCGGCTGTTTCTGGATGGTCAGAAGTTGACATCTTCAAACGTGGTCCAATTGAACGGAACACGGATTACCAGAACTCCGCTGTAAAGCGGGGGTCCCTATCCGACACGACTCACGGGGTAACCCGTGAAGTCGGAAAATTGTATCGATGACGATATGAGCACAGCCCTAGGCTGTGATTGACTCCGGTACAGCAACAAGATGCACCATCTTGCTGGACCGATTAACAAACACACTAATGCCAGTATTTTTGTGAACGTCTTTAGGAAACCCAAAGAAGAAGTCTATCGATACGGACTGCCAGTACTCTGCCGGAATAGGAAGAGGCTGTAAGTGTGCGCGGGATTAGAAATAGGCTTCACCCGTTGACAAACTTCGCAACCGCGAATGTATTTCCGCACAAACTCACACTGGCGGGGCCAGTTAAAGTCACGACTTACGGTGAGGTAAGTCTTTCCCCTACCGTGATGCCCATTTGTTGGGGCATCGTGACACTTATACATGATGCACAATCGCAATTCATGATGAGCCGGAACGACGACACGCGGTGTGTCGCCGTTGACTGATGTATAGTACAGCAGTCCATCACGAGCCGAATACCGTTCGGTTGAAGAGCAGTATTGAAACGACAAGCTTTTCAAAGGTTGACTGTACGGATTGGGTAGGTAATCCATCAACCGCAGAAGATACTCGTCTTCTGTGTATGCTTTTCGCACGTCATCGATCAGATTCGACGACGAAACACTCACTGTTAGAGTCGCAACAGTGGGATCACCCCCACTGTTAGTTTGAGCAATCGGCCTAAAATCGGACTGACGCGAAAGAGCATCAGCGACGACATTAAGCCGTCCTGGTTTATAGTCGACGAAGAAGTTGTACTCCGCGAAGAAAGACAGCCACCTCGCCATTCGTTGCGAGAGGTGTGGACTGTTTACGGCCGTGCGTTATGACACATGGTCGATAAAAACGATGAAGGGCCTATCTCCTAAGAGATACGCCCGAGACTTGGCCAGTGCATATTTCATGGCAAGGAGTTCCTTGTCATGAGCCGAATAATTTCGCTCAGCTGCTTGCAGCTGACGCGATTGATAACAGACGACGCGCTCAGCCCCATCTAAGTCGTACTGCATTAACGCGCAGCCGATTGCAAAATCGCTGGCATCACAGACCACATGGAATGGCCTATCCTGATCTGCAATCGCCAAGCACAGGCGATTGGACCAAGCTTTTATTGATGCCTTCAAAACAGTGCTGACACTCAGCGCTCTGTGACCACCTCTCGTTTTTCTTTAAGAGACGAGAGAGATGTACAGTCATCTTGGCATAGTTGCGCTAGTATTTGTGCAAGTACGCCACCAAGCCAAGGAACCTTTATAAGTCCCTTGACGTCGAATGGCACATGCCAGTCGCTAATCGCCTTGTATTTTCCCGGATCAGGGCGTACACCGTTTTAACCCACGATGCAGCGAAGAAGTGGTATTTCGTTTGCTGCAAAGATACACTTCTTGAGGTTCGCGAACAACTTATGCTCTCGCATTAGTGTATGAACCTTCCGGACGTGGACTCTATGAGCCTCCACGTCCGTCTTTCCATCCATAGCCCGACTGTGGACGAAGACATCGTCGATGTAACTCGGTGTAAAGTCGCGCACCGATAGCAACAGATTCGTAACACATCTGTTAAACGTTGCGGGGCCTTACTTAGCACCTGTGGCATAACTAGCCACTCCCAGAGCATACCACTGGGGGTGCTCACTGCTGTGTACGGGATATCCCTTTCACGCATGAGGATCTGATAGAATCTATACGTCAGATCCATGGACGAAAAGATGGTACTATTTGCCATACCATCAGTGGTGACATCCTGTCTTGGGAACGGCGTTTGAGCCGGAACCGATGCAGCGTTAAATTTGCCGAGCGCGTGCAGAATCCGCCACCCTCCTGTGACCTTTCGCATACAGAAGGTCGGATATCTGTGCGAGGATGTTGATTCCCTCACACGACCAGCCGCTAGACGATCGGCAAAGAATTGGTCGATCGCTGTGACCTGTTCACGAGGCATTGGCCACTGCTTCATGACACAGTATTTTGAACCAGGTTTCAGTTCGATCTCATGCCGAGTGCCTTTGTTGTTGGGCAGCTCGCATGGCACGGAATCCCGGAAAACATCCCTGAATTCCACCAAATCCTTATATAAAGGATTTGTCTTCAAAGACTCCCAAGATTGAGACGTGTATCGCTCAATCCGAGTCATCTCAGAGAGATTACTCTCGTCCATCGATGATCTACTGAGAAACCGTTCGTTCACAGCAAACACTTGTGCCGACCGAATATCGGCGTCGTACTCGTCCTCTGTGACGAGTACGCAGATCTGCTTGATCTTGTTGCTACGCAGATCTGGCAAGAATCTTTTGGATTCTAGCGTTGGCAACCTGACTACCTCCGAAGCTGACTTCGGGGGCGTAACCAGATCAATTGTATGAGCCCCTAAACTTGATCCGTCATTCACCAATACATTTACTGACTCGGTGATTTTCTGGGAAAACACATCCGCAGGTGGTTGGAAATCCACAACATCAACATAACTCTCTCGGGAGTTTTTGCTCTCAGGAACGCTGGATATTTCTTCCTCTACGTGTACTATCATGGTCACGTCCTCTTCGATCGACTATCTTTCAGTTGATCAGGCTTGCTCTACGATCGACTTTCTGGTAGATGATCTTGCTTCAACGTGTTGTCCATCCTGAACAACACTAATTTTTCTTCTCGGATGCACCCTTATTGGTGTGCATCCGTGTTCCAGTCCACTCGATATCTTCAAGTGGTGAACCTTCGGCACAACCGGTTTCTCTACACAGGTTCCGGAAGCTGTTTCCAGTGTGTAGTGGCATTCTACACTGTGATCTTGTGCAACCATACTAACGACCGTATCACAAGTGAGGCCTCGCACTCACTCGCAGTACATCCACACGCTTGTGGACGCTCCAAAACGTTCATCAGATGACCATCCGATGAACAAACGGCAGGCATCTTCACGGATCGATGCTGCCAGCTAACCCATAACTTGTATTTTCTAAGCCATGGCAGACAAAGAATGACATCAAACTTTTCATCCAAATCCAATACGATAAAGTCATCATCGCACTCCTTTCGTTCTAGCGCGTTGTGTATTCCCACTACAAGGTTGTTCACCGTCATAAATGCGCCTGTTGCAAGGCACACCGTCATCCTCGTTGGAGGGAACTTTCGATCAACATAGTTGAGCCTACTATCTCCTAGCGACTAATGTCGAACTGTTCGACGCCCCACAGTCAATTAGGGCACGAAGGGACATTGTACTTGTCACTTTGATCTTTAAAGTGATGAGAGACTACTCATCACTAAGGGCAGTAACACACAGAGACTGCGTGTTGGGAGCAATCTTCGTCAAGAGTCCTGCAAATTCTCTTGACAATGCTGGATCAGCAGGGTGCTCCGCCCCTACTGACCCTGATCGTTTCTCGACGGTCCGACTTGCTGTCGCGGCTTAGCGACATGGTCGGATCCGCGCCTCGGACCCTTCCTTGGCCAACGGTGGGCATCCCGTCCTGTCTTTGAACGTGTTACGGTGCTTAGGACACTACACTAATGAGCGTAGTGTCCAATCTACTGACAGCGATGGCATCTTCCCGTTCGCTTGTGACGCAGAGAGCGTGAGTTCTCACTATCTCTATAACAGAGGTCCATTGGTTCGGGACCTCCCGTTTCCTGTCGTCTCGTCGGACGATAGTTTGACGAGTTATCCTGAGAATGTCTCAGGCTGAAGTCTTCTTGTTCCGCATACGCTATCGCCCTTTCCAGCGTTTGAAAGTCCTCTCAGAACATGCAGGTCTTCACCAATCCATCTACAAGGCCATAGATGAACACGTTGATAAGCTTGTGCTCATCAACAGGGTGCTCTGTGACGCTACTCGCAAGGTAGTGCAGGTGCTGTGCGTAAGCGTGCACGTCACGCTTACCTTGCTTTAGCCTCAAGAGTGCAGAGAGTGCTCTGAACTCTGCTCTCGGCGGCCCAAACGTCTTTTTTAGCCGAGACTTTAAGGTCTCTATCGACTCGAACACGTTTGGGTCGTGAAGCTTCACCATTTGGCTCATGTCTTTGCTCGTCCCGTCAAATTCGACAGGGCAAAGGTGACTTGCATTTCGTCACCCTCGATGTGACGGGCTCTGATGGCATCGTCTAACTCGACGAACTATCTCAAAAGGGAATTTTCATCGGTTTCCTTGTACCTTGAGATATCAATCTTTAAGGTTTCGAATCGATGCATGCGCGTCGGCCCGCCCAACGACTGATGAGAGCCTTGCTACTGTAGCTAAGCTATCTTCTGTATTTCGACGGCAAGTTACCCTTGAAGGAACTTGTTGATAGCAGCATGTTGCTGGTCTCTGCTTAGAGACTCCAACATACCACTGATGGCGGGTTCGCCCACGAGCACACTCATGCGACCGACTACCTCCCACTCTGAGTCACTCAGATAAGAGTAGCCTTCGTGTGTGACGTGAAAGCTGTCGTCTTCTATGTCCAGCATGTTCATTTTGGACGGACACTAAGTAGTCGTTGGACGGACTACAAAGTGCTACCAGGTGTAACGGGGCACCCTTTGAGTGCCACGAAACTTCACGTACTCTAGTACGTGCAGAGGAAGCTAATCTACTCAAACATATATCTGAGAAAAGGGTAAAAAGAGAACTGTATTTAATGTAGTTAAGCTATCACAGTAACTTCAGTCTTTATCCAACCATATAAAACTACGTCGTCGTGTGACGACAACCTGCTCACCATTAAATTCGCGCGACAAGTAGCGATAGGTCGAAACATTGTTTAATGTATCTTTATTCGACAATCTTTGAGCAGCGCATGAATGTTGTCAAACGAGGATAATATTCCTTCGACTTAATCTGTCTCGGATAATATTGGTAGGATATTGTCATGCTAAACAATATTCCTATTGACACCGTTTGGCGTCAATATCATGTGACGGGCTACCCCGTTACAAGCAACAGCAATTGACTGAGTGGGTCGCTACTAATGCTGCAAATTCAATTTATGGGGCTCAAAGCTGGTGGGACGGAGACGAATAAGTTCTATCATATACCTCACCGGTGCCCAGTCGAGCGATGTGAGTCAATGACAGGCCCGACGAGATCTTAAGGTTCTGGTCCACGTTTAGTTGGGCGCACAATTTATGGATACGAGATGACATGGGCAATATGTAAACCACCACCAAGTATAACAGGATTGAGTACTGTGCGCTGGGACAGATCGGCCTGACAAGAACTGGGCAGGCGAAGCGCGTGCTGAAGATACCCCGGCCCGCGAATCAATTCAGGTCTCACTCTGCATCAAAATTGCAGCGGTGGGCAACACTAGTTCTGCTCTCATCGCCAGACGTCGACGTCGGTTCGAGAGTTGGCCAGTCTTCAGCATTGCGACTACACAACGGTCCTCCATTACTATCTACCTATGCCTGGTCGCTGCTTCGAGGAGGGGTCATCGCTGGGCAACCACCAGGGATCTAGATGCAGTCGTCACAAACTATAACGCTGTATCAAGAGGCAGATGGCATGCACTGGAGATGTACCGGTCACCCCCCAGTAATCGACGATGGATCATCTGTCGTGCAACAGGCATTAAGTCATGAAGTGTGCGAGCTAGGCCTAGTTTTCGATTCTCACCCACTGCTATACAGATTTCCGTGGACGGTTCCTGACATTGCGCCAATCCAGTATGTCCAGGCGACGCTTATGCGTCAAGCTTTTCTACATCATCGACAGGTTTTGGCACGTCCCTTGAAGAATTTCTTGGACCTTCTGGATGAACGGGCGACTATAGATAATTGGCAACGAGCGGCACTGAGCCAAACTTTAAAGCAAGTATGGGACCATAGTCAAGGTCCTACGACTTATCAAGTCTGGAGGGATATATGTAACGGGGCAACCTGAAGCTTGTACTGGTGACAGTACAAGCTACTTATTCTGATGACAGAATAAGGCGGTGCCTCGGAACTTCACGTACACTGGTACGTGCAGAGGAAGACGGTAAGGAGAAGCGAGTACTTGGTTAAAGTTAAAAGTAGAACTGTATTTATCATTGTTAATGTCTGTTAATAAATCACTATTTATCCTCATCTAACTATGTCTGAATACAAATGTGTATATCAACTATCTGCTCACCACTCATTGCGTGCGTCTGTCGTGGCGCGTCTTCGTTGGTTGATACACTGGTCTATATCAACCAATTAGGAACTACTTGGAAGTGCTACAGAATATTTGTCCTTATGACAATATTCTGTGAATATAACTCTTATAGTTATATTCTATTAACAATTTCTTATAAATTGTTATGTAACGGTTCATCCCGTTACATCACCCCCCCTTAACCATCAGTCACTTTAGTGACTGATTGACTAAATGGATACTCGTCCCAAATCATTTGGGACGGGGTTTGCACCTGTTGGTCCGAGTCCACTTTCCAACATCTCACCGCATGGTTAACAATCCCATGCGATGCGCGAGCAAGGCCGCCGAGAGCGCGTCCGCACGTCTCTGTGCGGACGCCGAAGCAGAAACTACAGCAACTGATGTCCCATCGGTTGCTGAAGCGACTCAGCCTGTGTCACTTGATGATGCAGGCGCTGGTCATGAAGACACTCATGTCTTCACAGAGTACGAGCTCGGTGTCGCATACTCTCCTGATACGGATGACGGATCCGTATCGACGGCGATCGAATCCAAGCCGCCTGGCAAGCGTGGCATGGATGATGCTATGCGTCGCAGCATCTTTGGTTCATCTGATGAATCAGATTAACCATCGCCGAAGCAAAGGCGCTCGAGGTCGCGAGACTCGGGCGCTAACAGTGGTGTCGGTTCTCCTTTGGACACCACTTCGCAACGAGGTGCCAGTCCTTCTGTCGGCACGTCGCAAGAAGAGCGGGACCGCAATGTCTTGCGTCTCGCTCCCGAGAAGAAGGCATGGATGCCTCCAAAATCCGTCATGGATCACCTGTCGGCGACGACGAGTGATCGTTATCGAACACGGCTGTTCGATTCGTCAAGGATCCATCACCTTGACCCCAGCGCGAAAAACTATCGCGCTGAGAATGATTTCTTCATCGATGCATTCTTTAAACATCGATGGTACAGTGGGAATCACAAGCGTGATGGTCCCTCACTGCTTCAAGCGTGGAGCGCCTACATCCATAACCTTGAGGATGTAGGTCGTGACGCTTGGAACGACAAACTTATCAAAGGTCGTGATAAGTTTGAAAAGCGAACCCCGACAGGTGCACACTATAAGCTGCATCGTTTGTCAAAGGAGAAAGGTGACCTACCCTGCCTTTCCTGGGGAGACCCGTGCCCTTGTTGTGTAAACAACTCAGAGCACGCACCTAAGGAGGCTTACCTCCTTACTAGCCCGTGGTGGCGCGTACGTGTCTCTACTGAGATGTACGAAGGGATTGACAACCTGCAATCCCTTTACGACCGTGCCGGGAAGACTTTCTCCGGCGGTCCTTCTGTGGCACAGGATGTGCCGCATCGTACTGCTCTACCAGACCCAGTACGTCAACCATTAGTTGGGAGCGGGGCTCCCAAGTATCCCAGGACGGGGGATAGCCGCGCCACCAGACGAGATAACTCGTCCGACGTCCGTTCACGTCGCGGTGGTTCAACAGCTGCTCAACCAGATAGCGCTGGACACCGCGAGAGTCCTCTAATGGAGGTGGAGGAGGAGGAAAGACGCTCTCCACACGATCGTGGGGATCCGTGTGTTCCCGAGAGCTTCTTTGATCGCGTAACGCAAGGGTTACGCAACGATCTCGAACATGAGCGGGACAGGCGTCTCCAAATGGCGGACACTGTCTTGAAGCATCGAGCTGAGTTTGCCTTTGCTCAGCTTGAGAACGAGAGAGCTCTGACATCTCTGCGTGAAGAGCTAAAGGCAGCTTGTGTGGATATTGACCGGTCTCGGGCTGAGATAACTGCTCTTCAGACCCTTGTTGATGCCCACCATCGGGAGCACAAGGCCCTCTGTGAGATGCTTGAGTGCAAGGGCGTTCTTCATCGGAAGAAACAGCGTACTGATGGTACGGCTTAAGCCGACCAACGTAAAACGTGGGATGCGTTCGCATCTTACGTGGCAACTCGATCGTGTATGCATTGCCTAGGCGGTGCAATACACGAAATGGGTTGATGTACTTGGGTGGTAGTTTACTGCTACCCAAGTTAGTCACTACGTGCTTTGGGTAGATTAACCGTAGATAGTAGGACTAAGCCACCTTTATAAAATAAAAGAGTGTTTGCCCTTCCATTCTTGTCTGCGTTTTGCTTTTGCTTATCCACCGCTTCGGCGATGTAGTCTCGCACAAAACGGACTACCGTTTCACGAGCCAGTATGAACTCATCTGCTGACCCGTTAGCTTCAGTGTGCTGTGAGTGCACTGCAGCAGCGTCAATCTTTTCTTCAGTAAGAGCTTCCGCGCTCTCACTGGCTCATCTTCTTCAATATCGATGTTATCGATCGGCATCAAACGCAATGACCTCTTCATCAGAGCGTGATGAGCGTGAACCAAATCGGTTTTTCCTCAAGCGAGTCCCTCCCCCCCTTAAACCAGAGTTACACTCTAGTAAGGTGGGTACACGCGGATGGCGTAAGCCATTCACGTAAAACGGTGTCTGTGTCGTGGACGCATGCACCGAGTTGTTAATGGCAAACTCTACCATTGGCAAGAACTCACTCCAACTCTAAAAGGAGTGTACTTATCCTCGAAGTATCTCTTCAAGGACACGATTGGCTCGTTCCGTCTAATCATCTGACTCGGGATGATCAGATATCGACATCTTCAAGCGCGTTCCGAGTGATTTGAACACGGAACGCCAGAAATCAGCAGTGAATCGTGGAATTCTGTCTGATACGAGTTCACGGGGCAACCCATGAAGTCAGAAGATGGTGCCGATAAAGACACAAGCACATCCATTTGCCGTGATTGTCTCTGGTACAGCCACTAGGTGTACCATTTTGCTGAATCTGTCAACGAATACGAGAATACCCGTATTCCCGCGTGCGTCTTTGGGTAACCCGAAGACGAAATCCATTGAGATGGATTCCCAGCACTCAGCCGGAACTGGTAGAGGCTGTAAAGGTGCACGCAGTGAAGGACTTGACTTCACTCGTTGACAGACTTCGCATGCGCGAACATACTTTCGCACAAACTGATACTGGCGGGGCCAGTAAAAATCTCGACTCACCGTGAGATATGTTTTTTCACGGCCACGATGTCCTCCTATAGGAGCATCGTGATACTCGAACATGATTCGCAAACGCAGATCAGTATCATCTGGAATGACAACACGTGGTGTGTCACCAGAAACGGCTGTATAGTACAGTAAACCGTTGCAAGTAGTGTATCGATCTGATGCAGATCAATACGCAGACGATAATCGTTTCAACGATTCTCGAGATGGCTGTGAGAGATGTGTCAACAACTTCACAATCTCACCACCTTGGGCGTATGCCCGTCTCACATCATCATACAACGTTGAAGATGGGACTGAGGACGTCATAACCGCAACAGTGACTGTCTCACTGTTGGGTTTCACGACTGGTTCAAAGTCGGGACGACATGAGAGTGCATCAGCGACGACATTAAGTCGTCCTGGTTTGTACTCGACCGTAAAGTTGTATTCTGCAAAGAATGGCAACCACCGCGCAATTCGTTGTGAAAGGTGCGGGCTGTTCACTGCCGTGTGTAATGACGCATGGTCAGTGTAAACAACGAAGGGTCTATCTCCTAATAGATAGACTCTGAACTTCGCGAGTGCATACTTCATGGCAAGGAGTTCCTTGTCATGCACTGGATAGTTCCGCTCAGCTGGTTGCAGCTGACGCGGCTGATAGCAGACGACGCGTTCAACGCCTTCCAGATCGTACTGCATTAATGCACAGCCGATTGCAAAATCGCTGGCATCACAGACCACACGAAATGGCCTGTCCTGATCGGCTATTGCTAGGACTGGGGATTGTATCAAGCTCTGCTTGATACCATCAAAGGAGCGCTGACATTCAGCGTTCCATAACCACCTCTCGTTCTTTTTCAACAAACGAGAGATGTGTACAGTCATCTCGGCGTAATTGCGTGAATACTTGTGCAAATACGCCGCTAGCCCAAGGAATTTTCGAAGACCTTTGACATCAACCGGCACAGGCCAGTCGGTGATCGCCTTGATATTTTCGGGATCAGGACGTACACCGTTCTTACCAACGATGCACCCAAGAAGTGGTATTTCGCTTGCTGCAAATATACACTTCTTGAGGTTGGCATACAATTGATGCTTTCGCATGATTGTAAGAACCTGTCGGACGTGGTACCTGTGAACCTCAACATCCGACTTTCCATCCATAGCCCGACTATGGATGAATACGTCATCGAAATAACTCGGCGCGAGTTCTCGTACTGGTCTCAACAGATGTGATACACATCTGTTGAACGTGGCAGGGGCATTACTAAGCCCTTGTGGCATTGCTAGCCACTCCCAGAGCATGCCCCTAGGCGTGCTTACTGCGGTACAGGGTATATCCCGTTCTCGCATAAGGATTTGATAGAAGCCATCCATCAAATCCATGGACGAAAAGATGGTACTCTTTGACATACCATCAATGATTACGTCCTTCCTTGATATCGGCGTCTGAGCCGGTACCGTTGCAGCATTCAACTTGTTAAATGCATGCACTATCCGCCACCCTCCTGTTGCTTTTCGCACACAGAAGGTCGGAGAGCTATGTGGGGAAGTTGATTCCCTCACATGGCCTTCAGCTAAACGATCGGCAAAGAACTTTTCGATCACAAGTACTTGTTCACGAGGCAGTGGCCACTGCTTCATGACACAGTACTTCGAGCCTGGTTTAAGCTCGACCTCGTGTCGAATACCTTTATCCTTCGGTAATTCGCACAGAACAGTTTCAGGGAATACATCCTTGAATTCAACCAAATCTTTATAAACAGGATTTGTCTTGAGCAATTCCCATGATTGAGAGTCATATCGCTCAACTCGTGTCTTTTCATCTAGTAAACTCTCGTCCATAGATGAACTACTGAGAACTCTCTCGTTCTCAGTGAACACTGTTGCTGACCTTATGTCGGCTACACACTCGTCTTCAGCGACGAGTACGCAGATCTGCTTGACTTTGCCACTACGCAGATCACGCAAGAACCTTTTATGTTCGAGCGTTGGCAACTGAGTGATCTCCGAAGTCAACTTCGGAGGCGCAATCAGATCAAGTGTATAAGCGCCTACACTTGATCTGTTATTGACTATGACATTCAATGTCTCTGTCATTTCCTGGGGACTTATTCCCTCAGGCCTCGAAGGACTTATTCCTTCGGCTTCCCGGGGACTTATTCCCGCGGGTTTCGGGGAACTTACTTACACCGTATTTACCATATCGGGACTTAGTCCCTTAACTTCCTCTAGCTGGGGTTGCGCAACCAAAGCGAGATCCTCTACGAAAGACTCTCCAGTCGATCTAGGATTATCGTTTCGCTTAACCTGAGCGATCGATTGTTTCTCTTCTAGATGTTTCCCTCTAGGGATACATCTTTGTCCCAGTCCACCCGACTTATTCGAGTGGTGGACCTTCGGCGCAGCCTGTGTTTCCTCACAGCCGCCGGAAGTTTGCTCCGAAGTGTAACCGTTTGTTACACTAAGGTTTTGTGCAGTCGTACTAACGACCGTACCACAAGTGAGGCCATCGCACTCACTCGTAGTACATCCACACGCTTGTGGACTCTCCAAAACGTTCATCAGATGGCCATCTGATGAACAAGCGGCAGGCATCGTTACTGTCCGATGTTGCCAGTTTACCCGTGGTTCGTACCTTCTGAGCCACGGTATTCCAAGGATGACATCAAATTTGTCATCCAAATCCAATACGATAAAGTCATCGTCGTATTGGGTATCTTCTAGCGTATAGTGAATCTTCACTATACGCTTCATGACGGTTACGGATGCGCCTGTCGCAAGACGTACCGTCATCCTCGTAGGAGGTGTGTCACATTCACTGAATTTAAAGTGACCATCTTCTAGCGATTGGCGTCGCACAAAATTGTTGGACGCCCCACAATCGACTAGAGCTCGAAGGGACAACTTATTCGTCACTTCGAGTTTCAAGGTAATGAGTGAGATCTCATTACCTAGAGCAGCAACGCACAATGTCTGTGTGTTGGGAGCAACCTTCATCAAGAGGCCTACAAATTCTCTTGACGTTGCTGGATCAGTAGGGTGCTCCGCACCTACTGATCCTGTCCGTTTTTTGACGGTCCATCCCGTTGTTGCGTCTTTGCACCAACTGCGGACCCTCGTCCCTGCCCCTTTCTCATGGGTGGACGGTCACTACGCCCAGTGTCGCGAGACACTGGACGAGGGGCACTACACTCGTAAGCGTAGTGTCCTGTCTTTTGACATCTGTTGCATCTCTGCAACTTCTTGTAGCCTGTAGAGCGAGCCTTCTCGCTCTCTACATAACAGAGTTCCATCGGCTCTGGACCTCCGTTGTCATATCGTCTCGGTTGACGATATGATGTCGAGCTGGCGCGAGCCTGTCTCAGACTGAAGTCTTCCTGTTCCGCAATGGAAATAGCTTGTTCCAGTGAATCTAGTTCAAGCCGGAACAGGTGAGTCTTGACAGGACCATCCACAAGACCCTGCATGAACACCGAAATCAACGTGTGTTGATCAACCGGGTTGGAACTTATACAACTCGTGAGATGTCGTACATGTTGCGCGTAAGCGTGCACTTCACGCTTACCCTGTTTGAGCTTCAAGAGTTCGGTTCGAGCTCTGAACTCAGCTCTAGGCGGTTCAAACGTTTGTCTGAGCCGCGACTTGAAGACTTCTAACGACCCAAACGCATATGGGTCGTGCAACTTGAGCCCCAGTGCCCAAGTCTTGGCACGTCCTGCCAGATTTGATTGGGCAAATGCAACTTGCATATCCCCGTCGTCGATGCGACGCGCCCTTATGGCGTCATCCAATTCGACGAACCATCTCAAGAGGGAGTCCTCTTCGACTCCCCTATACTTGGAGATGTCAATCTTCAAGGTCTCGGGTCGACGCGAGTGCATCGACCCACCAGCAGCAGCCTGCTGCTGTCTCAACAGTTCAAACTGTTGAGCACCCTGTTCTCTCAACAACTCTGCTTGTTGAGAACCCTGTTGGTGAAGCAAGGCTACTTTCTCGCGTTCAGCGTCAAGTTCATTTTGAATGAACTTGGCGATAGTAGCATGTTGGGCATCTCTATTGAGAGCCTCTAGCATGACGCTAACAGCATGGATGCTCATGGTTGAACCCATCCGTTCAACCGCATCCCATTCGACATCGCTCAAATGGGAGTAGCCGTCACGCGTAGCGTGAAAGCTTTGGTCATCTTCATCATCTAACATATTCATGTTGGATGTGAACGTGGTCCTTGGACGGACTACGAAGTGCTACCAGGTGTAACGGTCACCCTGAAGCTTGTACTGGTGACAGTACAAGCTACTTATTCTGATGACAGAATAAGGCGGTGCCTCGGAACTTCACGTACACTCGTACGTGCAGAGGAAGACGGTAAGAAGAAGCGAGTACTTAGTTAAAGTAAAAAGTAGAACTGTATTTAGTAATAGTTAATGTCTGTTAATAAATCACTATTTATCCTCATCTAACTATGTCTGAATACAAATGTGTAAATCAACTATCTGCTCACCACTCATTGCGTGCGTCTGTCGTGGCGCGTCTTCGTTGGTTGATATAATGGCCTATATCAACCAATTAGGAACTACTCGTAAGTGCTACAGAATATTTGTCCTTATGACAATATTCTGAGAATATAACTCTTATAGTTATATTCTATTAACAATTTCTTATAAATTGTTATGCAACGATTTACCCCGTTACAATATAGGATTGCGACAGGCCAACTGAATCTATTCTATGCAGGACGAGTGGAAAACAGCACGTGTCGCAAGTGACCTGGGTGTATAGGTTGTGTGGAAACATGGGTGAACCTGTTTTGGCAATGCCCATACGCTGTGGCGGTGTGGAGCTAGCAACTTGGGCACTGGACGGGAGAGCGGGCATCTCGTCAGGTCACGCACCATTTTTTCGGAGCATGTGCTAGTCGAAGAATCGGCAGCATACCCGCATATCGGAAGAGCACCTTAGCCGACAGGTTTCAAGAGGATTGGGAGGCAGCAGAACGGGTGTGGAAGCGAATATGGTTTATTCTTGCGACATTATGTCAAACTAAGCTGTGGACTGACCGAAATGACGCGGTGCATCAGTCCTTTCCGAAGGACATCACCGGCACCACGTCCAGTTTCTGGGCCACGTGCACCCGACAACTTCGCGAGATCGCGACACAAGAACACAGACATGAATCATCGGCTGTCGAGGGTGCCATTATGTACGCTTGTTTTAAGCTACTCGAGTATGAACCACAAAGGTCACCAGTCACAACTGGGGCGAGTCATGAACAGCCCCGGGTTCACCGGCGCTGACACCTTGGTTAAGACTATACCAGAGATCTTGCGCATAGTAAATTCCGTGTAAATAGACCATTGAAACAACAAAACAATCGATGGGAGCCACCATCGCTGATGGATGAGCTCCTCGGGGATAGACTACGACGGGTTGGCGTTCCCCACGCCTCGTGGTTACTTCGGTGGCTACACTCTACGTCGATGGGCCGCGGCGGCACACGGGGCCCACCATCGCGAATGGACCGGCTTTTACGATACACAATACGGCGGGTAGGCGTTCCCCCGCCATCGTTATCGCCTCGACGATAGCGACATCCAGCCCGGACGGTCGCTTTAGCGGCCACATAGGAGTCTGTACCTGATTCTAGTGGCATTCTCCTGGCGCGTCACGCAACTTCGGTTACTCGCGTTATGGGTCGGCTGGCCGCGCTAAATGGTCACCGATTTAGTTGGGCGGCCGTTTGGACATCTTGATATTTTCTGCTGCATCGGTCAGTGTTGCACTGAGAGCGTTTGAAAGATAGGCACGAATCTGGCTTGGGTTGGATGTCTCCGACCTCCGCTACCCTCGCCCCTGGCTCTTCGGAGCACCCACGTTGTGGATCCGGTTTCGGATCACACTTCCTGGACACTTCAGTCGTTAGTTATTCGCGAATAATGGACGTACTTGACCCAATAAAAAAAGGAAAAAAACAACAAAACAAAACTACCGCTATCTGACGAGAATAGGTCTGCCACTTGCAGACGCAACAAGTTCAAATGGCGAGCATCAATGTTTGTTTGTGCTTTACTTATCAAAATAGGTATCACACCTATGGGACTTTAATCCGGCAGGATGCTTCCTTTTGGTCAGTGTGGCTTGCTGTTGATTTAGTTATTTACCCTGATCACTGTGCACGTAGTCAAGTCGGGGTGCGAGCGTGCTGGAGACATAGGAGTAGCCTGGCGCCATAAGCTCAGCAGTATCCGCACAAATCCACTTCGAGCGTTCTTCGTCTGGCGATTTGTTGGTTTGCGTCAGTAAAAAATCGCCGCAGCCTGAAGCCACATCTGGTCCGTGGATATAGAGATGTCAATAGCTTGGAGAGTCGGGTACACATTAAAGAGCAGAAATTTCTCGCGTGTCGGTGACACGACGAGCAGCGCACAGCTATGTGTCTGCAACGGCTATAACCAAATTTTTGCACTGAATTGCATACGCTTACAGCAACTATGCAACGTAGATAGAGAGCAGAAGTAGTAGCGACGCACTGACGTTATGTCTTTAATGTATCCAAGGCTTTCTACAGCATTCTAGTCCGACTAGGTGCACGAAAGCAGCCGCCGCACAAGTCTTCCTGCTATCGGCCATCTTCCTTGAACTTCGTCACCACCCTTACTAAAACCAAGTTATTGCGACCCCTAAATACCCCCCGAGGAACTTCATTGATCAATTTGCGCTCGACTTCGAACTCTTTGGCTTGAACATCCGCCCAGTTTTTACATGAAAGTTTTCTACCTTCGTGCACTCTTCGCTGCCGGCGTTCTGTCCACCATCTCTGCCCGCGCGTATGGTGGCATCGAGCCAGACCCTATGGCTTATGGCGCTCATACCATCGAACAAGAGACGGTCTATAGACAGCTGAGGGCCCGTGCCGACGTCAAAACACTGCCAGAATAACGAATGAATTCGGTGGAAATCGAATCGGGACTTAACGCTGCTGTCAACGCGGCTGACGTTATGCACCTTCCTGCACCAGCCGCGATTGAGGCGACTAGTCGCCTTCGGCTTGCGGACAGCGTCATCAAGCTTGACATGCCTGCCAAGCTTTTGCCGGAAATGTCGACCGAAGATGCCGTTGCTGCTCTTGACAAGTTGCCTATAGTGGACGCAATAGGCGAGCTCTCAGGAGCGCTAAAAGACCCGGATCTCATTTAACTGGTTGTAAAAACTGCACCAATTACGTTTCGGCGTGCGTATCAACATGTCTCTGCTTTGCAAGAATCGAGTAAGCTAACAGTGAATTTAAAAACGCTGTTTGAGAATTGGCTAGAATTGGAACGTGTTAGTAAAGCGATCGAAGAGCTAAGGTCCAGCATCAAAGGAGCCCAAGCCAAGAGCCAGTAGACTTCCCATGGCTAAGTCTGCTACACATAGCATAGGTTTAAACAATGAACGCTCTTTACTTTCTGTTTTTGTACTTAGGATTATAAAGCTGAGCTCTGAGTGTGACTTTGCCTGCTTGTTCGTAGTTGACGACTATTTATATCCCGAGGCTATAGCATTCGTAAATCTTGAGAAAAGTGAAGGTGATGGATAAAATCAACGACCTGGGGTGGTCTACTACAAAATGTGCAAGCAATCTGCAAGCGAATGTTCCAATAACCACTAAAACATATTGGCAAATGCTGACGAATCATTTAAAGACAGATAATTTGTACAGATTGTTATGATATCAACTAAATTGTAGCTGCTACATAGGAAGGTAAGGTAAACGTTAGTGTCGATAGACATTGTAAAAGCCAATCTGTGTACTTGTACCTCCACATGAGCAATTTTCTAAACATTTGTACCTTTTCCAAACCTCGTAATAGCACCTGCTAATTTTGTGTGGTACTGAACTTTTATGCATCATACAATTAACATGGCTGAGTACACGCTCACTGGAACGTGGTAAGCGTGTTACATGTAATTAACTTTAATACTTGTTCATGAAAATCGTATCATAAAGGTTGATAATGCTCGTGAAAATTGCCATAAGGGGTAATGATCTGAAGCAATTACAGTTTGGCTGATATGGGTCATTACATCAGCCAGCTCCATTGGTTTAATCAACGATGGACGCGAACAATGAGTGGCGAGCTGACTTAAGCATATACTTTTGTGAGTAAATATAATTAAGTAAGGACTAAACACAGGTACACACGACGGATAAAATGAGGTCGGATACAATAAATATGATTGTAGTAACGTGTAGCTAACATCGTAGTTTGCTATTATCACAAATACCGCGCAATACTACGAATCGCAGTTCTTCTTCGTGCCGACACAAGTTAGTGTCTACAATGATAAAGATGTGCTTTTACGTGAAAGTGACTTCTGCTTATATCTAAGTCATCACTTATTGATTGGTGTGCCTTTTTTTTTACCTTAGCAAAAGTGGAAAGTCGCTGTGAAAATCGCCTTCTCTCGAAAACTTTAGGATGCATTGTTTAGGATATTGCTAAATTCACACCCCTTTTCCTTAGATTCACACCCTTCCTTCAAAATCTTATATAAAATCCCTATTCATTTTAAGATTTGTTTTCTAACATTGTGTGCTTACAATGTCACGTCGAGTCACAGAAGTCACGGTAAGTCCCTGTGTTGTTAACGGTATGTATCAAATCCTAGAAGTCACGGGAAGTCCCTGAGTTGCCGACGGTATGAGACTCCGAACACCGGTCGCTAGTGAACTCGCACGGAAATAAATGCTTTCAATACGTATATGCTATTAAACTGGTCGAGTGGCTCGCCATGATGTTTTGTGGCCGATGAAATATACTGTGGTATATTTGAATTTGTGACAAACGCCTCTCAGTTTTTCATTTTGGTGAAACTGCTTAAGCGTGATTGATCCTGCACGTCCCGATACTGAAATCAATGCAAGTGTGACGCCACGTGATGAAATGGAAACCGTGGCAGAGTATTAGATTGTAAGCAACGCGGAAATCCAGCGGCGACAAGTCCGTCGTGCGAAAACACTGTCGGTGGTCTACTTACATGTAGGCAGTGCAAACTCCGGATTCCACATTGTAATACCTCGCACCCGATCAAACAGAATCCGCTGCCTCAGTTTCGACAATGCACATACATCCTCGAACGTTTTGTTTAACTTGCTGGACAACATGTCAAGATACTGGACGTCATCATCCACGAGCTTTGTAGAATTGCTCCCAAAGTAAGCTAGCAAGATAGAGTGTCGTATCAGCAAATCTACTCGAGTCTGCGTCTATCGCAAGTTAGATCCTTCGCTCTGTAATAACAGCCACGCCTCTGGACGCCGTCTTGTTTCGGGCACAACACGAGGTCACCGTTAAGTAGACAGCACAAACTACTCGCTAGCTGAACAACACTGCTATCTCAAGCCATATTCACAAGCCCTTTACTACGCAGATCCCTTCGCAAACTATACTAGTATCCATTGACGCACTCACATTCGTGCCAACTCTAGTCAATGTCATGAGTGCAATGTGTCGAAAGTCAACCGAGTGCACCAGAGGCACTCTCGTGCTAACCTCGTGTCAATTGTCTATTAGCAAAATAAATTACAGCACCTTCTACAAGACCTACGATGCAACGACTTTCCAGTGGAACTCCATTGAACGAGGAACTCCTTGTGTGCACTCAAGGTAGTATACCAGTTTGTCGTTATGAACTGTTTTTTCTAAGCACGCAGTTATCTCTCACTACCCTGGCTGCTATCTACCCCCCCCTCAAGCTTTCTTCTTGCTAGACTTCTTTGCCTTCGATGTTGTTGCCACGGCTAGTTTTGTTGGAGACATGCCTGGAATCAGTCGAGGTGCCGGAGGGAGTACTGATGACGCAGATGCAGGCTGTTTTCCAATTCTTTCCACCAGGAACTTTTTTCCGGTGACGTTGCTACTCTTGCATCTTGGGGCACTGACGCTCGTCGCCTTGATAAATGGGGAGCTTGAAAGTGAGGGTGGCACTACAACCGGTTCAGGTGGCTGTTTACTTGTTCGGATATAGAGCAACAAGTAAGCAGTCTCACTGAGCGCCGCAGCCTCCGAGATCGATGTTACATGCTCATCATCGTAACGAAACCACTGGTCTTTGTTGTCGCGGCATACGCAAGTGTAGTGACCTCCCACCACGTACTTGCCCAGGTGCGACACGACTGCAAACAACTCGTACACAGGAAGAGGAGTCAACGGGCCAGAACCATGGACGGGCGTAGCATCTGACGAGTCCAATCCATTCTCCGCACGACAAGCAGTTGACAGTAGCTGTGTTGGGAACTCCAGAAAATGCGGATACTTTACAAACTGCTGTAACTTGACAGGTCCCTGTTCCGGATGGTATGTAAAATGCTTCACGCTCAGCGTCAACACAACGGGAAGGGAGTCCACTGTCGTGTACTTCTTCATCGTAGGGACCTATTTGGCGTCTTCGATCACCTCGACGTCAAATGAATTGCGGATCATCTCCTCAACAGTAGTTGACGCGTCGGCTGAATTAGCCGTGCCATTCTCGCCTGTAACAAGCGATGGGTCTTGTGTTTCGTAATTGAGGTTCAAGTGCAAGCAGTGAAACGGTTCCACAGTAATCGAACTTTGTCTCTTGCCGATCTGCTTCAGCTCGGAGCGTAGTGCACCCTTAAACATCTAATTTATCGGCGAGCGGACAGTGTCAACGGGATTCTGACGTAGCACGCTGCTCTTGCCTTTCTTACCAGCCTCTGCCCAGCCGTCATCGAACGCTTGAGCACTCTTAGCGCCCGCGTCCACACTAGCTTCATTCTGCTCGATCACAGGAGCCCGCTTTGTCTGCTTTTCACACGAGGCAGGCAAACGTAGACCACTCTTTTCGTACTCTGCGAGCAAATACTCCAAAAACTCCAGTGCATCTTCCTGCTCTCTGCGCATCTTATAGAAAGCACCCAATATGTCCATGAAGTACCCGCTGATACGAATCGCCTGTGGTGCTTTGCCATGCATATCGTTGACCTTTCGGTCACCGTGACTGACTTGAGCCTGCACTGTTTCATTGGAACAATTCCAAACGACGCACTATCATTTGGCACTGCCTACAACGCTTACGCCATCCACACCTGCAAAAAAACGATGCTCGACGTACATTGAGCCAGTGTCGGTTCTTCAAACTTGCGCGTAAACGCCAACATGTGTCGCCACGCCTTGAACGTCGATGTACTCGCCAACATTGAAGTCGTTGGTGGACAAGCAGTCGAAGTCTCGACCAACAAACTGCACACAGTGAGCACACCTAAGGGAACACTAGTAACATCCCAGCACAAAACAACTCACTTTAAAAACGGCGGACAAGCCAGCACAGACTGCATGATAACATTCTGAAAGCACGTGTTGCCTTGATTCACCAGCCCCCTGCAGCAATTCAATATTTACAACCACCACAACGTCAGCACCTTCTCCTTTCTCATTCTCTTCCTCGTAATGTACTTCTTTCTACCTCTTTTTCATCTCCTTAGCTGGTGCCGACACGTCCAAACAACTAAGTTCCTCCTGAATCACGTCCTCAAATATAGAGGCTTCGTTGGATCCCTCACTATCTTTGCAGCTGCTGCGTTTCCATCAACAGCAGCTTCAATAGGCCACGACGTCGCCTGTCCACTTCCTTCCAGTAACGGCTGAGTCTTGTCAATGCCCACCGCTTCAGCCCACGACTTGGGAGCCACTTTTTTCGTAACTATTTCGACAGCCCTGCAAAGTCTTTTCCACTGCATCGACATAATAGAAAAGAGATATAATTAGATAGAGATATATAATTAGATAAAATATACAATCAGATAGATCGATCAATAGATATAAATAAAAAGATAGATAGAAATGCATAAGGTGACGGAGCAGATCCGTAAGAGCCTCGGCGAGGATTAGAGTACAGCACGCTTTGTTTCGTCCCCCCTGACTGCTAACAGACATTAGAGCATGCTTCACGGACAGCCTGTCAGTTTGCTACCCTCAACCTATTGAGCACATGTTAAGTACGAAATGCATGAATATCGACGTCTTCTCGACTTGCGTGTAACGTCTTTTAATGGTTTAAACGCTAGAAACAAATCTTAAAATGAATAGGATTTTTATATATAAGATTTTGAAGGAGGGTGTGAATTTAGCAATTCCTATCGTTTAATGTGGCGGATAACTTCGTGCCACAAATACCGTGAGTGGGGTGTGACGAATTGTACAAAGCACAGGTTTCGCAGGTGGGATACGCTGATTGTAACGGGGCACCCTTTGTCTGGGTGCCACGAAACCTCACATACACTGGTACGTACAGAGGAGCTAATCTACTTGAACGACTCAGTCACGTAAAAGTAAAATGAGAACTGTATCTAATTTAGTTAAGCTTTCAGTATAACTTCAATCTTTATCTAATTATATTAAATTTCGTCGTCGTATGATGACAACCTGCTCACCACTCATTGCGCGAGTCTAGCAGCGATTGGTGGCAATCTATGGTTGATATGTCTCATATCAACCAATCTTGGAGCAGCGCATGAATATTATCAAAGGAGGATAATGTTCTTTCGATATTATCCATCCCGGATAATATTGGTAGGATGTTGTCATGCTAAACAATATTCCTATTGACACCGTTTGGTGTCAATATCATGTGACGGCTACCTCGTTACATCACCCCCCCCCTCAACCATCAATCACCCGTTGATTGAATTAAAATTGATTGGGACAGGATGGCCACCACTGGATCACTCTGGGAAAGGAAACACTTGTTGGTCAAATCCCAATCATTTGCCAATCCAAAGCATGGTTTAGAAAACGACGCGAGCTGCTACTGCAGCAGCAAGAAGGGCGGCTGCAAAAATTCGTGCAGCCGCGGAAAGTACCTCTCACACCTCAGCAGCAGGTGATTCGTTGTTTGTTGCTGTGAATTTGCAACATGCGGTATCTGTTGTGAATAGTCGACGTGGTGAGTCACCACATGCGACAGGTACATCTGCTGCATCTGCAGCGGGTACCGCGAATCGTAACCAAGATGAGTCTGAAATAGAGCTCATCTATTCTGGCGAGTCAGATTATGTATCTGACGCGAAGGCAAAAACCTCACGAGGGATCAAATGAAAGGAAGGCCTCCTTAGGGGCACGGTTCGAGTTGTCCAGGCAAACTGGACACGAATCACCCCACGAGAGAAAGGGTAATCCTGCCTGAGGCGCGCATCTCTTCCGAGATGGCCGAAGGGATTGAAACTTTGCAATCCCCGTACTCGCGTTCGGGGAGGTCATCTTCCGACGGCCCTTCTTCGAACGCAGCGGGTGGGTCTCGTCGTACTGCTCGACGAACCCAAGAAAATCAACAATTAGCTAAGCACGAGGCCCTCTGCTGTCCCACGCCGATGGATAGCCACGCCAGCGGACGAGGTAACTCGTTCGGACGCCTTTCACATTGCGGTCGTTCATTATACGCTCTACCAGAAGGCGTTGAATACCGCCAGAAATCACCAAAGGATGTGGTGGTGGCGGGAATACCTGATCCGTCTTGAGGGTCGGATCAACTTGATGTTCAGGAACTGAACCGTATAACCGATCAGTTACACGATGACCCGGATCACGAACCGACTCGGCGTTATGAGCTCCATGATCTTGTAAAGGATAATTACAATCTCTTAGCACACGATCGTTCGGACGATCGTGCCACGTTTGCGTTTGAGCAACTTGAGAACGAACGTTCGATTCGTTCTCTTCATGACGAGCTGTCTGCTGCTCGTCGAGACATTGCTGAACTGCGTGAGCAGGTCGCTTCGCTAGACGACCAGACTGGCTCGTTGAAACGGGACCACTAGAAGGTGGTCATGGCTCTCGACCGCGAAGGTGTTGTTCGCATCTCGAAACGGGCTCGTACTGATAGTACGGGCGGAGACGACCGACATAAAAAGTAGGATGCGTACGCATCTTACGGGGCAGTTCAATCGTGTGTGTGTTGCCCATTCGGCGCAACACACGAAATGGACCGATGTACCTGGGCAGTAATTTACTGCTGCCCACGTTTGTCACTGCGTGTTTCGGTAAGTTTACTGTGGACAGTAAAACTAGGTCTTCTATATCAAATAAAAGAACATTTGCTCTTCCATGTTTGTCTGCGTTTCATTTCGGCTTGACTATTACATCTGCAATTGAGTCTTAAATGTAGCGGACAACTGCTTCGCGAGTCAGCCGAAATTTTTCTGCTGATTCATCCTTATCAACAGCAGTGCGCATCGTGTGCACTGCTGAAAGAACGTTGCCTTCAACAGTGAGGGCGTTATCGTCCTCACTGTGGCAGTCACGGGCGATACTGAATATACCAGCATCGTCGTCATTATCATCATCGATGTCGATGAGATCGGCATCGGCATCTATCACGTCGACACCTTTGTCGATGCGTGATGAGCAAGAACCAGATCTGTTTTTGTTCGAGCGAATCCACCCCCCTTAAAGTAGAGTCACACTCTAAGAAGGCGGATAAACGTGGATGGCGTAGGCCATTCACGAAGAACGGTGTATGCGTTGTCGACGCATGCACCGAGTTGTTGATGGCGAATTCCGCCATCGGCAAGAACTCACTCCAGCTCGTAAACGAGTGGAAATAACCTCGAAGTATCTCTTCGAGAACGCGGTTGACGCGTTCCGCCTGACCATCTGTTTCGGGATGGTCTGAAGTCGACATCGTCAAACGTGTTCCAAGTGAACGAAACACGGATTGCCAGAACTCCGCTGTGAAGTGAAGGTCCCTGTCAGATACGAGTTCACGGGGTAACCCGTGAAGTCGGAAGATAGTATCGATGAAGACACGCGCACATCCCTGGTCTGTAATTGATTTCGGTACAGCAACAAGATACCATCTTGCTGAATCGATCAACAAACACACGAATGCGAGTATTCTTGCTAGCGTCTTTAGAAAACCCAAAGACGAAGTCTATCGATACGGACTGCCAGCACTCTGCCGGAATCGGAAGAGGCTGTAAGGGTGCGCGGGATGAAGAACAAGCCTTCACCCGTTGACAAACTTCGCAAGCGCGGATGTATATGCGCACAAACTCATACTGGCGGGGCCAGTAGAAGTCACGTTTTACCGTGAGGTAAGTCTTTTCCCTACCGCGATGCCCACTTTTTTAGGCATCGTGACACTCATACATGATGCGCAATCGAAAATTGTTATGAGCCGGAACGACGACACGAGGTGTGTCGCCGTTGACTGCTGTATAGTACAGCAGTCCATCACGAGCCGAATACCGTTCGTTTGAAGAGCAGTATTGAGACGACAAGCTTTTCAAAGCTTGATTACACGGATTGGGTAGGTAATTTATCAAACGCAGAATGGCCTTGTCTTCTGTGTTTGCTTTCCCCACGTCGTCGAGCAGATTTGACGACGAACACTCACGGATAGTGTCGCGACGTTAATTTCACCCCTACTATTGAGTTGAGGAGTCGGCTCAAAATCGGACTGACGCGAAAGAGCATCAGCGATGACATTAAGCCGTCCTGGTTTATATTCGACGGAGAAGTTGTACTCCGCGAAGAAATACAGCCACCTCACCATTCGTTGCGAGAGGTGTGGACTGTTTACGGCCGTGCGTAACGACGCATGGTCGTTGTAAACGATGAAGGGTCTATCTCCTAAGAGATACACCCGAAAATTGGCCAGTGCATATTTCGTGGCAAGGCGTTTCTTGACATGCACTGGGTAATTACACTCAGCTGCTTGCAGCTGACGTGATTGATAACAGACGACGCGCTCAACCCCGTCTGAATCGTACTGCATTAACGCGCAGCCGATTGCAAAATCGCTGGCGTCACATGCCACATGAAATGGCCTATCCTGATCTGCAATCGCCAACACAGGCGATTGTATCAAGCTTTTATTGATGCCTTCAAAAGAGTGCTGACACTCAGCACTACGTGACCACCTCTCGTTTACTTTAGTAGACGAGAGAGATGCACGGTCATCTAAGCAAAGTTGTGCGAGTACTTGTGCAAGTACGCTGACAAGCCAAGGAACTTCCGAAGTCCCTTGCCGTCGACTGGAAAAGGCCAGTTGCTAATCGCCTTGATCTTTTCTGGGTCAGGGCGTACGCCATTTTTACCCACGATGCAGCCAAGAAGTGGTATTTCGTTCGCTGCGAAGATACACTTCTTGAGGTTCGCGAGCAACTTATGCTCTCGCATTAGTGTAAGAACCTTCCTAAGTGGATTCTATGAGCCTCCACGTCCGTCTTTCCATCCATAGCCCGACTATGGACAAAGACATCGTCGAAGTAACTCGATGTGAAATCGCGCACCGATCGCAACAGATTCGTAACACATCTGTTGAACGTTGCAGGGTCGTTACTTAGACCCTGTGGCATCATTAGCTACTCCCAGAGCGTACCACTGGAAGTGCTCACTGCTGTGTAAAGGATATCCCGTTCACGCATGAGGATCTGATAGAATCTATTCATCAGATCCATGGACGAAAATATGGTACTTTTCGCCATACCATCGATAATGACATCCTTTCTTGGGAACGGCGTTTGAGCCGGTACCGTTGCAGCGTTCAATTTGTTGAGCGCGTGCACTATCCGCCACCCTCCTGTGGCCTTTCGCACACAGAAGGTTGGAGAGCTGTGTGGGGATGTTGATTCCTTCATGGCCAGCCGCTAAACGATCGGCAAAGAACTTTTCGATCGCTGAGACCTGTTCACGAGTCAGTGGTCACTGCTTCATGACACAGTATTTCGAACCAGGTTTCAGTTCGATCTCATGCCGAGTGCTTGGGCAGCTCGCGTGGCATGGATTCAGGGAAAACATCCCAAATTCAACCGGATCCATATACGAAAGATTTGTCTGCAAAGACTCCCAAGATTGAGACGTGTATCGCTTAATAAGAGTCTTTTCATCGAGGACAATCTTGTCCATAGATCAGCTACTGAGAACCCGTTCGTTCTCAGCAAACACTTGTGCCGACCGAATATCGGCGTCGTACTCGTCCTCTGTGACGAGTACGCAGATTTGCTTGATCTTGTCACTACGCAGATCTCGCAAAAATCTTTTGGATTCTAGCGTTGGCAACTTGACCACCTCCGAAGCTGACTTCGGGGGCGTCACCAGGTCCAGTGTATAAGCGCCTACACTTGATCCGTCATTCACCAAGACATTCACTGACTCGGTGGATTTCCTGGGAAAGCACATCCGCAGGTGGTTTTGGAGATCAACACCCTCAACATAACGCTCTCAAGAGTTATTGCTCTGAGGAACGCCGGAATTTTCTTCCGTTACGGGTACTATCACGGTCACGTCCTCTTCGATCGACTCTCTTTCAGTCGAGCGGGCTTGCTCTACGATCGACTCTCTGATAGTCGATCTCGCTTCAACGTGTTGTCCATCATGAACAACGCTAACCTCTCTTCTCGGATGCACCCTTCTTGGTGTGCATCCGTGTTCCAGTCCACTCGATTTATTCGACTGGTGAACCTTCGGCGCAGCCTGTGTCTCTGCACAGGTGCCGAAAGCTGGTTTTACTGTGCAGTGGCCTTCTACACTGTGATCTCGTGCAATCATACTAACGACCGTACCCCAAGTGAGGCCATCGAACTCACTCGTAGTACATCCACACGCTTGTGGACGCTCCAAGACGTTCATTAGATGGCCATTCGATGAACACACGGCAGGCATCTTTACGGATCGATGCTGCCAGCTAACCCATAACTTGTATTTTCTAAGCCATGGCAGACCAAGGATGACATCAAATTTGTCATCCAAATCTAGCACGATGAAGTCATGATCGTACTGCCTATCTTCTAGCGTGTAGTGGTACCCGCTACACGTTTGTTCACTGTTACGGATGTGCCTGTAGCAAGGAACACCGTCATCCTCGTTGGAGGAAGCTCTCGCTCAGCATAGTTGAGCCTACTATCCCCTAGCAAATGACGTCGAATAAAACTGTTCGACGCTCCACAGTCGACTAGGGCGCGAAGTGAAATTCAACTTGTCACTTCGTTCTTCGAGGTGATGAAAGACTCCTCATCACTAGGAGCGGTAATAAACAGCGACTGTGTGTTGGAAGCAATATATGTCTATAATCCTGAAAATTCTCTCGACGTTGCTGGATCAGCGGGGTGATCCGCCCCTACTGACCCTGACCGTTTTATGGCAGTCCGACTTGCTGTCGCGGCTAAGCGACATGGTCGGACCCACGCCTCGGACCTTTCCTTGGCCAACGGTGGTCATCACTTCCTGTCTTTGGACGTGTTGTAGTGCTTGGGACACTACACTCATGAGCGTAGTGTCCAATCTTCTGGCAGCGATGGCATCTTGCCGTTCGCTTGTGACGCAGAGAGCGAGAGTTCTCGCTCCAGATGTAACAGAGGTCCATTGGTTCTAGACCTCCTGTTTCCTGTTGTCTCGTCGGACGATAGTTTGACGCGTTGGCCTAAGACTGTCTCAGGCTGAAGTCTTCTTGTTCCGCATACGCTATCGCCTTTTCCAGCGTATGGAAGTCCTCTCGGAACATGTAGGTCTTCACCGGCCCATCCACAAGGCCGTAGATGAGCACGTTGATGAGCGTGTGCTCATCAACAGGGTTCTCCGTAACGCTACTCGCAAGGTAGCGCAGGTGCTGTGCGTAAGCGTGTATGTCACGCTTACCCTGCTTTAGCCTCAAGAGTGCAGAGCGTGCTCTGAACTCGGCTCTTGGCGGCCTAAACGTCTCTATGAGTCAAGACTTCAAGATCCCTAACTACTCAAACACGTTTGAGTCGTGAAGCTTGAGCCCTAAGACCCAAGTATTTGCTCGTCCCGTCAAATTTGACAGGGCGAAGGTGACTTGCATTTCGTCACCCTCGATGTGACGGGCCCTGATGGCATCGTCTAACTCGACGAACCATCTCAAAAGGGAATCTTCATCGGTTCCCTTGTACCTTGAAATATCAATCTTTAAGGTTTCGGGTTGACGCATGTGCGTCGGCCCGCCCATCGACTGATGAGAGCCTTGCTGCTGTAGCAAGGCTATCTTCTGTCGTTCGATGGCAAAATCCGCTTGTAGGAACTTGTTGATAGAAGCATGTTGCAGTTCTCTGCTTAGAGACTCCAACATACCACTGATGGCGGGTTCGCCCATGAGCACACTCATGCGGTCGACTACCTCCCACTCTGAGTTACTCAGATGGGAGTAGCCTTCACGTGTGACGTGAAAGCTGTCGTCTTCTACGTCCAACATGTTCATGTTGGACGGACACTAAGTAGTCGTTGGACGGACTACGAAGTGCTACCAGGTGTAACGGGGCACCCTTTGTTTGGGGTGCCGCGAAACTTCACGTACACTAGTATGTGCAGAGGAAGCTATATACTTGAACGACTCAGTCACGTAAAAGTAAAATAAGAACTGTATCTAATTTAGTTAAGCTATCAATATAACTTCAATCTTTATCTAATTATATTAAATTTCGTCGTCGTATGATGACAACCTGCTCACCACTCATTGCGCGAGTCTAGCAGCGATTGGTGGCAATCTATGGTTGATATGTCTCATATCAACCAATCTTGGAGCAGCGCATGAATATTATCAAAGGAGGATAATATTCTTTCGATATTATCCATCCCGGATAATATTGGTAGGATGTTGTCATGCTAAACAATATTCCTATTGACACCGTTTAATGTCAATATCATGTGACGGCTACCTCGTTTCACTCTCTCTCACGTGTCGTGAAAAACGTATTTGTCCGTCAATACGTCCTTCATTCTACACAAATAGTTGTGACGACACGTTTACCCACTTAAGAATAGAAATTCCTTTCTTGTTGTTGACAACCGGATCGCATCAATGCCAGTAGCGACTCGTTAAGTACATATACGTGAAAGATATAGTCGCTAGGTAACTTGTTCAGCATCCAAGTCGATCTAACGTTCTGAATATGATACAGATGCTCATACTTGGTTTGTTAAGCTTGAAAATCTTGGAGTGCGACAATCTTATTTTAATCAGAAAGTAAACTATCATGCGGCTGGCCATTATGGTCGACAAACTAACAACTTTGTAGATTAACGCAGCGAATTCTTGTATAGTTATAACGTGATGACCAGGTCATTGAGCCAATTCTCGTTGCTTGACTTTTAAGTATAATTATTTGCGCTGAACACAACGCGTAAGCCACATCCTCCGCAGTGCATGACTGTGGCGGAGTCACGAAAAAGAAAACAACAAGCACCAAGATACGAAAAGCTATCCAAGCCAGGAATTTGGTGTTTCGGCTTGAGCGAGCGAAACAATAGAAGTAACGATATAAATGACGATTAAATGTAAGACACTGACTTTAGCAAATATATGTGTGTGTTCTGGGAAGCAGCAAACAGGTAATTTCTATGCAAAAATGGTTTTGGGTTATTTCAGCATATTCGCGTAAAACTGCAGACGGCAAAATTGAGAAGGAAGCGGAGATCGAGCGATTCCATATGTTCATCAATTCTCCAATCTTCATGGAAAAATTAAAAAAAATGCCCCGTTTATGGAAAATCAATAAAAACCACGTCCAAGTTTACTCAAGTTGACGTGTACACATATTTAGACATACGAAGTCACTTTTAACATTAGATTTAAGGCTATGCTCAAACTGGGTTTCAAATGGGGAGCCGTTGAGGAGGTTTGCCGCAGGCGTGCCGCATTTGCAGCCCTTAGTTGTACACGTGGACGGTAAATGGGCGATGTAAACCACTCTGTATATTATCGACTACGGCAGTACACACAGGCAAACGATAAAATGTTCTCTTTTAGTGATGTTTTGATCCCTTTGTATTTATGTTAGTTTAGAATGATTGTGGTCATTGATAGTGTTGTTGTATCGTTATTTCAGCTGCTGCTGGTTTTGTTGCTGCTGCTACCTCTGATACTATAGCTAGGTTCTCTGCGTTGTTCCTGTTGCTTGTATTACTTCTGCTGATAGTGAAGGTGTTGTTGCTGCTGCTAATTTTGTTGTAAAAAAAGCTTTTGTTACCGACGATACTGTCGTTAGAGTTGCCTTTGCAGCTCTTGCTGTTGTAGGTTTGGCGAGCTGTTATTTCGCTGCTGGTGTTGCTTTTGCTGTTAATGTTCTGTTTTTGTTAGCTTTTGTGGTTATGTTGTTACTATAGTGCTGCTGTTATGGTTGAGAAATCGATCGTGCTTCATGCTAATCGTTGCGAGAAAATTTAGCATTTGCAATCCCATACTATCAATCTTTCATTCTGTCTGTTTGACCCCTATTTTATAGAACTTTTACTTTTTAGCCTCCCCCGGCTGCAGTCGTATTGCAAGAAGAAAAGGGTGCGATGATGCTCTAAACGGGGTTTCTGGCCGCTTGAATTGTACGAAAACATTGTTCATCTGTTTCTTTCGGAAAATTTAAATTTAGATCGTCAAAATGAGAATCTGACACGCCACTTACTCTGGATTCGACAAAAATATATCGTCTTAACTTACTACGTGGATCTACATATTGTACACTATGAAGGTACGATTCAAGGCTATTTGAACCCGAAATCATATTTAGTCTACCAGTGCATGCAAAGACTTTTAGCGGTTCTGAAACTTATTCTGTGTTGATCATGACTGTAAACTACAACAACAGCACGCCGAACGTGAATCGTTTATGAATTACTGACAACCCACTCTAGACATTCGATTTGGTTGAAGCTTTTTCTCAAATTAGCATGTGTTTATCCTAGTTTAAAGAAACCATCGCACGTACATTGTGGCGTATAAGAAGAATAACCAAAACTTGTGTTAGTTTGTCGTTCTGTATTCGCCAGCACTTGGCATGCAGTTTCCTAATGTTCAGATCACGCGCCATACCACGTGTTGCATCATTGCGATATAATACAGAGCTCTTGAATGTATTCGCATGAATTGTATGGGTAGTAGTAGTAGTTAATGGCGCTTATAAATGACTACGACCTACAGACCCTCCATGTTCGACCTTATCATTATCTTTAGGACCTAGCTTGCAGCCTTTTACCCGTCTCAAATCTGCATTGATATAATGTAAATCTGATATACCAGCATAGCATACGTACATCCGCTGCGGTTTATATCCATGTGACCACAATCAAGCTCATGTGCTCTAGGAGGTAAGACGTATCAACATACTGTGATTGTAAGGTTATTATTACATCTTGATTCTTATGTTATAAAACTATTTCGGTAAATGTGACTACGT